TGGCGGATGGAGCGAGAAAGCACGTTAAGGGTTTCAGTCCCACTTATTTATCCACTCTGAAGTGGGTGGAGACCAAATGGGAGCTCCTGAGCTACAGGATATAAACAGTCCACAAGGGTCATCCATTGTTTGTTTGCTTAGTATTTAATTATAATAAAGTGTTCCCATTTCAGAAGGTTTCAAAATGATGGAAATTTGGAGCATTGCCATAGTGATTCTCATTTTTAAACAAAATATTATATCGTTTGAATGGTTAAAAGTTCTAAAAATGTTGCATATTGAGGATTTGCACGTGACATGGCAGTCGTGTGAGTTTATGTTTTGGCGGTCATACTGGAGGTCAAGACTGGGGTTGATCTAGATGGTGTTATTCATTTAAAATATAATCATGGTGACTTTAAACAGCGCAAATGAATTAAAACTGTCCGAAATCGCCAGCTCGTTAGATCAATCGTCATTAGGTATAAAGCTAAAGTCGTCCTCCTGGGTTGAGGAATAGATAGAATAGAATTGCTCTGTACCCGACCTCCAGTATCTGTTTTTACATGTTAGATCTTCTAAGCGAACATCACACTGGCGATGGAGTGTACGTGAATAATGATGGGACGTAATCTGGTGAAAGTGGGTTATCATTCTTCATAACTATGAGAAAAAATACTTTTGGTTTATATCATTTCATTGACTGTAAATTCCTTCTTCGTTTGTGTGGAGCTGGTCCCTCACCAGAAATTAAATGTTGACTGTACAGACGACTGAACTCAGTGGCTCCATCCCTCTATGTCGCTCTCCACCTCTTGTCTGCGATCTTTATCAGCCGGGATCCGATAGAAAGATACTTTGGCCTCCTTCTTTAGCAGATTGACTCCGACCAGAACATCCAACAGCAACACAGCTCAAAACCATAGTTATTCAATTGAAATGTTATCACACACAAATACTACACGTTGGTCCAGATGGATAGTTTGACTCCAATATGGCGACATCAGCACCAGGTCACGTGGTTTTGTAACGTAGATGCAAAACCTTAATAACGGGAAGCTGAAACCCATGAATAAATGAATGAAACTGCCCTGGGACACGCTGATGGAAACAAGGCTGCCAATCTGAGCCATCTCCAACCACCAACACACAAGGTAAGGTTTGTGAAGCGTCTCGCCTAAGGATACAACAACAGAACTTGGTCCGAGGAGAAATCACTGCTCTGAACACTGCGGCCCCGAGGATTTTATTACCAACCAGGAAATTCTAACTAAAAAACGTGCCAACAATTTCTGTGTAAAAAGCTATAAAATATAAATGAAAACAAAAATCACATCACTTCAGCTCAGAAAAACTTCAGTCATTTACTAATACGACATTTTCAAGACTTTTTCACTCCCCTTTGTCTGCGTGTCGGTAAACTGTCTCGCTTAATGACACAACAACATTAAGAACAGTTGGTTTAGTTAACTGTGCAAAGCTGTTCGTCACTTCGTACAGTTTTTATAAGCCGGTTTGTAATTTTGCTCACTCGGGCTGGTGTAAATGGCAGCTTTGTGTTCTGTTCACATACAGAGGCGCGGCAGTGGGAACCAGCCCCTCTGTTTGACCGTCTTATCTCCACACGGACTCGGTAAACCCAGGAAAGTGGGACATTTGGTGGGAAATACAAGCAGTAGCTCAACATTCCTGACATCATAAGTGACTAAAGAATGAATGAATAATGCAACGTGAAGCTCTGAGTGTCCATGGAAACGCAAATATACCAGTTTAAAGCTTTATTATTATTAAAAATGATGTAACTATTTATCCTGACAACATACGTGACAATTGACCAGGAGCAGTTTGGCGGGTCCGTTGTTACTTAAAGCTGCAATATGTCACTTTTTCGTGCATATGCTTGTCTCCATGGGGATGTTATTGCTTTGGTATGTTCCATGATGTTGAATTTGTAGAGCGTGCATGTATTCAATGACAGAAAAACAAACTCTTACTGTGAGTGGGGTTGCCTCTCCACAGATCTGATCTATAAATTGGTAACTTGGACTCAATCCACACTAGTTCCTATTTGAGTCGTTTTCGTTGTGGATGCAGTGTTCATCGGCATTAATCCGACTGAAAACAGCTCCAGACACGGAACGATCTGCCGCCAACTTCCACGAATTCGTCTGAGTACAGATCTGATCCGGCACTGTGTGGACACTAGGGGTGTGCAAAAATATCAAAATATCGATATATCGTATCGTTTAATGTGTTGATACAGTATTGATATCGTGGGCTGCTGTATTGATATATTGCCAAGAGTATTTTTTGGTATATTTTGTTAAATTATTTTGTTGCAGCGCCACAGTTTTGTTGTTTGTTTAGTGGAAGGAAACTCATGTATGCAGCACATTTCACATTTTCACTGTTTTGAGGAATAAAATGTGTTTGTTTCATTTGAACTTTGTGGTTTAACAAAGACTTTTGAAGCCATGATTTAGACATTATTATTTATTGAACTATATTGAATTGATTTGAAATATATCATATCAAATCGTAAGATCACTGTATCGAGATATGTATCGTATCGTGGCCTGTGTATTGAGATATGTATCGTATTGGCAACTTCTTAATGACACCCAGCCCTAGTGGACGCCTGAAAACACTGATACTCTGATGTAGGCCTATGCACCGCGAAGTAATTCACCGCCAAAACACTAAAAGGCTAGAATATATGTCCATTCATATAAACGTGTGTCTGTGAGTACGACCTGCAGATGTATAATCTCTGAAAAGTTTAACATGAACCATCTCCAACACGACAGAAACACAGAACAGACTCACCATCAGCAGAACATCCTCTGTCACAGAAAGAACACTCACATTCCACTGAGTCGTGTCCTTTAGTCTGACAGAAGCTGAACCACATCAGCGCACAATAGCGAGCTGTTTTTTGTGGTTTTACGTTTCGTTTCTGTTAAATGTAAACAAATATGCTCAAAGCTGTGTGGATCGGGAAGACTTGTGAACACAGAAATGAGTCAGTCGTCACTCTGAGCCGCCATGCTTGTCTTAAAATTCAGTTTTACGCTAAGTAACAACTGAACCTCGTCGTCGGTCCACGAAAAGACACCTGCCGTCTCACTCGGCTCAAAATCAGCTGCTGCAACTTCAGACTTCCTTGTTTTTACCGTTCATGTAACATCGGGACAACGTAACACCAGCCTATCATGTGACTAGTGTTTCAGGCAGTTTCGTGTTTCCGTGTGGACAGGGAACGCTTTGATTGCGGACACAGAAACGACATGTCTGGACGCAGATCATTTCCGATACAGTGATGCGGTGATCGTTTCAGTGTAAACGGGGTCCGAGTCGTGTCCTTTAGTCCGACAGAAGCTGAACCGCGTCAGAGCACAACAGCGAGCTGTTTTTTTGAGCACTCAGTTTATGCAAATGAGCCATGTGGTTTTAAGTTTTGTTTCTGTAAAATGTAAACAAATATGCTCAAAGTTGTGTGGATAGGGAAGGCGATGCAGACACAGAAATGATGTGTCTGGATGTAGATCGTTTCCAATACGGTGATTCATTTCAGTGTAAACTTAACCTTGGTAACTGGAGCAAATTTAATGTTACGAAATATTCCAAGCAATATCACGATCTCCATGGGAACAAGCAGGTGGTGGACCCTCCATCTCCGGCGTACATAATGCACCTTTAAGTATTTCTTTAAAATACTAAAAATACAAAGCTAAAATGAATTGTACTTTTGCATGTCCAAGATATAAAACAACCACGATGTCACTATTAACCGAGACATCCCACTAACCCAAAGGTCGATGGTTCAATCCCCATTACCAACATCTCTTGAGCAAGGCCTTTCTGGCAACCTTAAGAATGAATGAATGAATGTGAGAGTTTGGAAGCTGACCAAAAGCACCGTATAAAACTGATGCACATGAGTAACAGCAGTAATGGGTGCCATGAAAATAAAATAATTATAATAAAAAATAAATAAAAATAAAATCACCGGGTTTTACATCAGGGAATAAAAAAAACGAGAGCAACTTGTCACCTCACAGCTTTTCATGTACGTTCTGAAGCATTTGTGTGCGATTTAAAACCATTTTGAGTCCGAAAAAACAAAATTAAATAATGAAAGAAGAAGCAAAATAAACAAGTAAACCCACATTTCTCACAAATCAACACAAAAATTTCCATTCTAAATCTAGTCAGCCATCTTTGTACGTGGACTCCAACTCAACCCAGCACCAGTCTCCACATCCTCCATTTTTTCCAGCTCTTAAAAAAAACAAAAACCTGAATCCAAACTGCAGGTATCCACCATATTAGACCCACCACCAAGTCTCCGTTCAAGCCCCAAAATACAGAAGGGAAGTCTCCAAGGAACCTCGTGACGGCTCAGATACGCTCCCACGAACCGCACATACGCGATATAATGATGCGCGTTTTTCCCTGTGATCAATAATGCATGGAGAGGGAGCACGAGCGCGGGATGCTGAGGCCGAACACACCCCTTTTTCAGGCGCGTGCACGTTGAGGACCGTCTACGAGCGAGCGACGTGCACGGGACACATCTACATTTACACCAGGACGATTTTTATTCCAATTTATTTACGACATCATTGGGTAAAACTGAATCTTTACGGTTATTACGCTTAAAATCAGAGTCCACAAGTCTTATTTTTAAATGTTATGATCAGTTTCGACCCAAATGTGCTTTTCTTTTGGGTTAAATTTGCAATAAGCAGCCTATTACATTATTTTATTGTGGAATAACTCGGTTCGTCAGTGTTTAAACAATACACTTATCGAAATAATTCAAAGCAATAAAAGGAACCGTAGAGTTTTATCACGCAATTGGGCGAAATCGAACTACCCACCATAAATCATTTTACAGCATGCTTTGTCTCGCTGTGGGTATCCAATAAGACAAAAGAAGCGCGCATAGCCAATAAACCCACCCAAAAACCGTCTCCAAAAGCTTTTACGCGCATTACGCACGCACGGGCATGTCTTACCGTCTGGCGTGTGGCTCTACGCTGCGTCCTGCACTTTCCCCCCGGCTTCGAGTGGCTTTCCTCCGCGGTTTGTGGTTCCTCCGCTGATGCTGCTGCTGCTGCTGCTGCTGCTGCTGCCTGTACCGCTGATGCCCGCCCGTCTCTCGGTCTCTGCCTGCCTCTGCGCGCGCACCCACGCCGACGCACGCCCGCAAGCTCGCTCCCTGCTCGTGCACGTGGTGGAAGAGTTAGAAAAAAAAAAAAAAGAAAAAAAAAAAGAATCGTGTCAAATCAGGAGTAAGTTGATTTGTAGACGTGACAAGTGTGTGGGCTGTTGGTTTGTGCGCGCGTAAACGTGAGTTTGTGGAAATTGTTGGGTTTCAGAATGACAAAGGGGATATTTTTGCTCGTGTCACGTGATGGTTTAGTACCATAATGTCATTTTTGCGGCTTGCGGTGTTCATGTATCTTGTGTATTTGCTTTGTTTTACACACAGCCATGCCTCTTGTTTCCGCGTGTGGCTTTATTCAGTTTGTGGCCTCGGCGCGCCCTCTGCTGTTCACTGTGAGTAAGTGAACAGGAACACAGAATGTGCCCATAGTGTCATCTCTGTGACAGTGTGAACATGAAAAGTCTTGGACGGTGCAGTTTCTCAGACATATGGATGAAAATTCATTCAGAAAACCAGACCACAACATTCATGATCCATTTACTTTAACTCAAAGATATTTTTTAATTTACTTAAAGAAATGTAGTTAAAGTACAGATACCTAAAATTTAAACCTAAGTAGCTACATTTTATAGTAAATAGTTTTTACTTTTACTTCACTACAGTTGAGAGCAGGTATCTGGACTGAAAAGTAAAAGTATTTTTTATTATAGTTTGAAACCTGCTGAAAAGGCTGAGGGGTTCTTTAACACGCTTGTGGTTTGACCAAATAAATATAAAATATTCTATTGAACAAAATTCAGCACAAATCTGTGTCAAAATCAGTGAATTTGAAGCTTTATTAGACCTGAAAATGTGTGAGAAACACTTCTACTTTTGACATTTTTAAACAGGTACTGTAATACTTTTACTCAAGTAGATTTTTGCATGTGATACTTTTACTTAAGTATTTCTTTGTTCCTGTATCTGTACTGTAGTATCTGTAAGTAGCAAAATTGAGAACTTCATCCAGTTTTGTTTCATTCACACATGTTTGAGTAACACTTTACTATTAGTCCGTCTCCATATTCAAATGCTCTGTTCCACTTGGTGATGTCATGTAGTAGTTTTTATGTTGACGGCTCCTTTTACCTTTAGTTCAGTAGAGATTGGAACGTCCAGGACTAAAATCATCTAAATGATTCTAGTGGAGGTGTACGGAGTTTAAAAACACAGTGGAGCATTTCCTGTATTACCAAATGACATCACAAGGTGGAAGAGTTTCTGTTTGAAAGAAGAACTCAGCCTAAATGTGCAGGTTTGTGTGTTAAACTCCAGGTTGGGGTTCGGGTTGGGAAACATTCATGGGCCTTTGTCTTTATTTAAATTCATAAATTTAGTTTCACACATTTGTTCATTTACCAAACCCAACATAAAACCCTTTGACAGAACAACCCGAGGTTCATCTTTGGTAAAATGACCACACACATTGTTCATTTAAATAAACTTTCTTTGTTGATTGATTTGAGTGACACATTCACAGACTCACCTGCAGCTCCACATGGTCCACACAGAGACGGGGGCGTGGCCCATGTGGCCATTTTTAAATCCTCTGGGGGAGGTTGTGGACTGGACCATGTGGAGGGGACAACTGCTTGAAGTTCTTTTTTGTTTCATGGGTTTTGTGTATTTGGTTTATATATTTCAATGTTTACTTTATCTTAAACACTTTGATTTACAGGGGACTTAAACTGGCTTTAGCTTTAGAGTTTTAAAGTGACCTGTGACCTGTAAAGGACCTGTGGTACTGACCTGGAGGAGGTTCTTCCTGCTGGGAGTAGAAAAGGTAGTCAGGTCAGTCAGTTGGAGGAAGACTTCTGAGAGACTGTGGAGTTGGGTGCATGTTTTTGTTGTGGTGTATTTCATTTAAGTTTCTTATTTTCTGTTTAATTTTGTGAACAGTTTATTTTGTAATGAAGTTATTTTATGTTCCAACTGAAGTCTGTTTTATTTTTTGTCTAGTATGACATTTTTTTGTCTGAAGTTTGCCTGCCAATGGCCAATAATTGGGCCAGTTTCCCAATAATAACAATAACCAAGATCAGACAAGAGCAGGATATGGGACCTTTGAACACTGTGCATGAACTCTCATCATAATCTCCTGCACTGACACTTTTGCACTGTTCATTCATAATATAGAGCTCCAGGAGCTGACGTCATAGCAGCTCGTCACGCACTAGGTGTCACCATTTTGGCAGTAATCGACAGATCGACTGACTCGAGCTGTACGACTCCAGCTCAATAACAGACTGTTCTCCAGACACAGCCGCCATTCATTTCCTAATTATTTTGCCAAAAATGGCCAATACAGAGAATGTAACACACGAAGATCAGAGCAAGAACCAGTGTGCGAATGTGTGGCTCCAGAGTGAGTCTAAATTGGGGGTGTGTACGTCTGTTCAGGACCTGAACGCACAGAGGTCCTGGTGTTCCCCGTGATCATGTACCAACCAGCATTTGTTATTTTAGGCTTTTAATTAACCAAAACCTTTTATGGCAATAGGCAAGAGCCTATTCAACTGATTCAACTTTAAAAATGCCCTGGTTTTAGCCTCGTGTGAGAAATACAGTCGGACTAGATCCAAACCGGAGTCCTGACCCAGCGGGAGCAGCTCCGGTTCTGTCCGGGCTCAGAGGATCTGGGGCGGGGATGTCAGGAGCCTCGGCCTGAGAAGAACTTTCCCCGGGAAGAACCAAATGTGCGGAGGACGGACGCTCAGAACAACATATAACCAACCAAACTGGACTCACACTTCTGTCCGGATGCTGCACCACCTCAGAACCAGCCACGGTTCTTGAGCGCGGAGGACCGGAGCAGCTCGTCCAGACCTGTAGTCCACAGAACATTCTCGCTTTTCCCGCACGGAGCCAGAGCACAGACGATGACACGGAACCACTCGGACTCAGTCCATCAAGCACTGGTCTTGCTCGCCACCGTCTGGAACCAGCTCATGGAGGACGGAGCCTCCGAACCATCTGACCAACGTGCCTGGAGGACCAGACCAAGGACCAGAGCCCAGCCTGGTCCTGAGGGTCTGAGCTGCGGTGAGTGTCTGTGTCTTTACCGCTGTTGACTGCTGCTGTTTCTCGAGCTCAGAGCTTCTGCTCCGGGCTGATGTGGTGAGTTTGTACAAAGTTGTACATGCTGCTGTTTTATGAGTTCATGATGACACTTGAGATGAGGACGGTCCGTGGTCTTAACAGGGAACATGAGTGTTGATAGTTGGAGGTATCGCTGTTCTACCTGGAAACAGAGGCGCATCAATCGGACCAATTGTGGTTGGTTTACCGGTGTATTTCAGATCTGGGACGTCTTCTTCAGCGGAAATATTTTTTAAAAATCACCCTGGGGGCATTATACGGGTCGGTAATGTTTATTCGATTTAATTTTTTGACATAAAGCTCAGTGTCTTGTGAATTAAAGTGAGCTTAACACTCCGGCAGTGGCTCTGTCCATTTTACTGCCAAAATGGCGGCTCGCCCATTGGGGTCTGGAGCTCTATACGTTTGATATTTTGATATCAAAGTATTTTTATTTTCCTTATGCAATGTGTAATTTTTTAAATTGGTGAAGGGTCCATCACCTGCTTGTTTCTATGGAGATGTCATCGCTCTATCCCTGGAATGTTCCAGAGTGTGACATTAAACAGCTCTACTTTACATTTATTCAATCACAGGTGGTTTTACAGCTCAAAAATACGTAGAAAAACAACCTTCTGACTGTGAGCGGGGTCGCCTCTCCACAGATCTGACCTGTTACTTGGTCTGGTTTGGTCTCCATGAAGATAGAAAGGTTTAATGCCATACTGTGGAACATTTCAGACAAAGCAAAAACATCCATGAAGAAAAGCATTTGACAGAGCCTCCACCAGAAAAGTTACACACTGCAGCTTTAATGCATGCCTTTATTTTCATTTGAGCATGTTTAATATTTGTATTTTCTCTGTTTTATTCACCAGAGTGAGTTGGTGGTGTGTGACTCTGTTGGTCTTGTGTGTTTGGAGCCGAGTCTGTGGGGGACGTGCTGTTTCTCTGTTTGGACTCTACATGAGCATTTCCCTCAAGCTGATCTGACTTATCAAACATCAGTGCGCCAAAACACAGGAAGTCCTCGTCTTCCTCTTCCTGTTTGGGGAAAGATGGGAGAATGTGTCCAGTTATCAAACGCCAAGACAAACGAACACCCTGACCCTGTATCGAGCCTCCGTCTGAGCTGCACACAAACACTCCAGGCTCAGTGTTCTGGTTAATGGATCGGCAAATGAAGATGTTTGATTATTGACAATATTTAGAATTTCATTTTGAAATTAGGTATCAAACTTGTAATTACCTCAACTATTTTCAAGTGAAGTTAAAATATAATTACATTTATATTGGTGGTACGAAGGCTGAGGCAAAATTCTAAATGTACTAATTCAGGAGTGTCAAACTCAAATTCAAAATAATCACTATAATCAATCAAAATACTCCAAATAAAAACTGGGACTAAGTCGTGGGCCAAACTAAATATTTATTGAAAAATTTCAACAACATCTACATGTTTTCTCTTCTTTCGAGATCTGTAATGTTAAACCTTTTCTTATTCAAATAAATGTTTAATAATAGTTTTGCTTAAACATTGAATCCAGAACAAGCAGAATATAAAACAATAACAACATTTTAAATCAATAATGTCTCTATAGTCGATCTGTAGCCGGCGGCAGCTCTAATACAGATTTCATATGATCTCATGGACCAAATCTTTTTTTGTGATCAAATTTTTATTCAAGTGTTATTATTTGCAGTTATAAATATTCCAGTTAGCAAAGCATTTTTCTCCCTTTAAATTTTTTTCATTTTAGTAGAAAATCAGCCGAGGGCCAGATTAAAGGTCTTAGAGGGCCAGATCTGGCTCCCAGGCCATATGTTTAACACCCCTGATTTAATCCAAAGAACTAAGACTTAAAAGTGTTAGAACTGTTATTTCTTCTTGTCGTCTGCACTGAAATGGAGCAAAGGATCATGGTCTATG